TCTTAACATTCCTAGGGGATTGCAACCACTCATTGAGGAGGTCAGAAAGCCCTGAGAGGCTAAACACCTTAAGATGACAGCTAAAATAGAGAGGAGCGTTTGGATGAACTGTTATACAAGAACTTGCAGAGTCTATGATATTCTTCTTTTTATTCTGACTAACTGGGAAAAAAATAGTAGATGGTTTATATGTTTTTCAGTGTTGTGGCTTACAAAAGTATTTGGGAAGATGGACTGCTATTGTAGAGTATGCTCAGATATTTTTTTGAAAGGTGAATGCAGTTCTTAAGCTGGATGACATCGATATAACAAAGTGAGTGTGTGTCTAGACAGCACCCTGATTTTCCATTTGTCTTCCACTCTTTAATGGCATCCTTCCACTACCTCTCCTCACAACTCCATATCAAAAGTTTATCATGGTGGCTAAGAGGAGAAAGAAAAGGTAATCTCTTCCCCACGTGGCTGTGCAATAAAGAGATTTGACACAAGCAACATTATAGTATTTATGACTTTGATTCAAGCCAGCAAATATTTTAGAAGCAAAGAGCATTCCAGTTCAAGAGGCTGGACTCTTATTGTCACGGTTCAACATCTTCTATAAATCTAAAGCAAACAAAAGCATCAGAAACAGTTGCATGAATTGTCCTGTCAAGCCAAGCAAGTAAAATCCTGAGGAAAACAATCTAGTAGAGCAAGAGTCAAGAGCAGAGACAGATTTTATTCTGCATGCCTAGCCAGCCGATTCTAGGCTTCTTTCAGCATTGTTATTTTAGTTTGAAGAAAACAAACCCAAACCAACTCACCTTCTAGGGGCTAATAACTTGTTCATTTCTAGTTGTTAGGTTCTTGGATCTCTGTAAGATCGGTTTTAAGTTTTGGGGAGTTGAAGTAACTGGACAACTATCTCCTAAACAGGATAGTGGTAGATCTCAAAACACAAACCTGTGAACCTGTGCTGTAGCCTGTCAGTACCTTGCCTTCCTTCCCAGTCAGAAATCGGAGACCTCTACTCACCTTTTTTTTGTTTGTTTTCATTTGTTTTTTAAGATCACATAGTCTTTTTCACCTTTCCTGTGAGAGCTTGTTTCCCCTGAGCCTTAGCTGACTGGCTTGCAAGCACACCATTAGAGTATCTAAAGTTTTGGCAACTTAAACTGTGTTATCAACTCATACATGAAACAACAAGGGTAATTACTGCCAAAATATAAACACTTATTTACAGCAGACCTAAGCAGATAATGTCTTATCCAGCTCTCAAGTCTTCTTGCTCCACACTGTCAACAAACGTGCCCTCTACCTGTGACATTCACCCTGAAAAATTTGATGGCAACACTTTCTGACTAGTCTTGTGCCTGTCTATAACTCGGCAGCATTATGGTGTAGGGAACTCATGACAAGATTTTTCATGATTATGAGCAGTAGCTCAGCAATGGAATTCTCCTTTATGGGCCTGTTCCAAGAACTGTCAAAAAAAATCCTCCAGTTCAAGCAGGACAGTTTTGATCACCCCCTTAAGTGGTTTAAAGAGTCCAATTTCTTTGTCAAGGTTCTCAGAGAAAAAAAGGCAATTTCTCAAGGCACACAATATTAGTCCCCAACCTATCAGTCACTGTTACGAGACAAGCCTTGAGAGTCTGATGGCTGAGGTCTATTAACTGCTCACAAGATTGATAACAGGGTAAGTTGCAGAGGAAACGTTAGATTTTGAATCAGTTTGACAATCTTTTAAACTTCTTGCAATACCATAGTAGAATAGATGCTGCCTGATACACATAGATATTTCATCAGAAAACATTTTTCATTTATGATTCCATAAACAAAGAGAAAGCTAACTGCATCTGCACTAGCCAGGAACCTGAAGCCCTTCTCTTTCAATACCCACTTAGTCTCAGCTCAGGAATTTCTCTCCTACTTTATCATGAAATTACAGTGTGAAATAGCAGACTATGGAGTTACATCAGACTGTGCAGCCATTATACATCTATAATGTCTTAAGTAACAGCATTCAGTTTTTTCTTTGTTTTTTAGGGTAAGCTAGTGCTACTCCAGAGCAATACCATCCAGCCTTTTCATCTCCTAGATGAGATGATTATTTAAAAGAATTCTTTGTATATAAGAAAATGCAAACAAAAAATACCAGTAAGTAATTGTGCAGACTCCTGCCAAACCCCTATTTTTCAGTTGTCCTCGTATCAGACTTTAGAAACTGACAGTGCCTCAACTCCGAAGAAAAAATGAGGTGGAGCTGGAGATTGTCTAGCTGCTGGGAAAGCAGTCTTCTGTTCCCAGAATAAGGAGGAATGACAGAAAAAAAGCAGTTCTCTAAGCAGCAGATTTTTGCCTACATAGAGAAGGGGCAGGAATTCTGATGCGCTTTGAAGCCCAACCAGTTCTGGCTCTGCAGCACATGGTCAGAGAGGTGGTCACTCACTGTGCCCATCACCTCAGCTTTTTGCTTGTTCCAAAAGAATACTCCCCACCACTTCACTCACACTGCTTGTGCCCACATCATCACGCTCTGATCTTTACGGTGGTTTACAGCAGCTTTGCTTACATCTCTTTCCAAGTCATCAATTTTGTGGTTCATCTAATGAATGCCCTCGGTCAATTTCAGTATAATGTAAGTTAATTTCTATGCTGTAACTGCACAGCTTGCAGGTGTAGACAGAACCCTTCACCTGTGTGATGCTGGAGATCTCAGAGATAATACTAAAAATGTGCTATTGTGCCCACATCATCACGCTCTGATCTTTACGGTGGTTTACAGCAGCTTTGCTTACATCTCTTTCCAAGTCATCAATTTTGTGGTTCATCTAATGAATGCCCTCGGTCAATTTCAGTATAATGTAAGTTAATTTCTATGCTGTAACTGCACAGCTTGCGGTGTAGACAGAACCCTTCACCTGTGTGATGCTGTAGATCTCAGAGATATACTAAAAATGTGCTATTAAGAAACAGCCATGAGATCTATTTGGACTATTATTTATAAATATATAAGCAAACCCAGAATCAAAGATTAGAACTCCATGAACCAGGCATCACATATTTAATATTGCAGATTTTGCTTTGTCACTGCAACCCTGGAAGCATGAGACATTCAAATCCTAACAAAATTAACTTACTTCAGTATTTTGACGTATCAGAAGTTCTTAACATCTGACCAATGTTAATTACGAGTCTTGAAAAGTCTACTAGGGCTAAAAGCCAGCTGTTTCACAAAAAAGGAAAAGGTGGTACCACTCTCAGTTCTGAATGGTGGAAGCACTACCAACATACTATTTTCCGCATAGTTTCCCATTACTACTTGAAAATACAGAAAATTTTGCCTAAAGCAGTTATTCAAAGGATTCATCAGGATTAGGCCCTTCTTGTTCTCATTAATAATAAGACTGGTTGTATTTGTGCTGCATGGTTCCTTCTTTCTGCTGACTTCTCTCTAGTCTTACAGTTAAGTATATGTCGCAACAGGAAAAAAAAAAAAAGAAAAAAAAAAGAAGGGATCTGGTTACTCCAAGGGTGAAAACAAAGTTAACAAAGTTCACCAATGTTCTCTTTAAATCTGACATGCTACTTCTAAGGACTTACGAAATAACACTCCACTTTATATTGGAATAATGACATATGCTTTTGTATGTGTAATTGGTCCTGGGTTACATTTTAGATGTAAATTAAAAGCTGTTTTACTGTAAACACCCAGGGCCCCACAGTCTGGATTCTGTAACATTTTAGTTCTTCCCTGCATTGACGGATGAACGTTTTTGAAATACTATTACCCACTCCCTTTGTAGCTTCATAATAGCTATCTACTTTATGAGTAGAAATATGAAAATAATATATGTAATATATTCTACTTTTGCCAAAGTTGTGTATTTTTTTTACTTAAATCTCCATGTTTGTTCTATTTGCAATGCATATTCCATCCTCTTCTATTTCAGTCTTCCACATTTCTCCCCTAAAATACCCTTCCAGTATATTTATACCCCATTTCACTTTTTCACTTACTGAATCTCTTTCCACCCCCTCAGTCCTGTGGTGGTTAAAAAAAAAAAAAAGAAAGAAGGGATCTGGTTTCTCCAAGGGTGAAAACAAAGTTAACAAAGTTCACCAATGTTCTCTTTAAATCTGACATGCTACTTCTAAGGACTTACGAAATAACACTCCACTTTATATTGGAATAATGACATATGCTTTTGTATGTGTAATTGGTCCTGGGTTACATTTTAGATGTAAATTAAAAGCTGTTTTACTGTAAACACCCAGGGCCCCACAGTCTGGATTCTGTAACATTTTAGTTCTTCCCTGCATTGACGGATGAACGTTTTTGAAATACTATTACCCACTCCCTTTGTAGCTTCATAATAGCTATCTACTTTATGAGTAGAAATATGAAAATAATATATGTAATATATTCTACTTTTGCCAAAGTTGTGTATTTTTTTTACTTAAATCTCCATGTTTGTTCTATTTGCAATGCATATTCCATCCTCTTCTATTTCAGTCTTCCACATTTCTCCCCTAAAATACCCTTCCAGTATATTTATACCCCATTTCACTTTTTCACTTACTGAATCTCTTTCCACCCCCTCAGTCCTGTGGTGGTATCTTTCACTTTGCCCATCACTGATCTGATAAACTAAGACTAAAAAGCCATTCACTTTTGCAATTTACAAGATGCAGCTGCAAAAAGTCTCACTGCATCAAGGTTACAGAGCATTTTCAAAAATTATCGGGTATCTTTCACTTTGCCCATCACTGATCTGGTAAGCTAAGACTAAAGAGCCATTCACTTTTGCAATTTACAAGATACAGCTGCAAAAATTCTCACTGCCTCAAAGTTACAGAGCATTTTCAAAAGTTATCAGGCTGAGTGCTTCAATTTACGTAATCTGCTTTTCTCCATTTTCTTTGCATATTCATAAGAGAGTACACTAGGCATTACCAGATGCATAAATTCAGATTTTTAAAGAGAGTATGAAGGAAACCCAAACATTTCACTAGAATGTTACCATTTTATCACATTAAAAGAAACAGCCTTAAACATGCGCCAGATGTGGTGTAAGAGATTTTTTTATCTTCGATGCTGTCAATTGTTATACAGATACCATAATTGAAATTAATCACAAACTCATAAAGCCATAATTATTCATAGGTATGTTGTTTTAAAGGAATCTTCCTATATTCTTCAGCATATTTGATGGACAAAGCAGAGTTCTGTAGCATTAGAAACCCTTGCAATGATTCATGTGAGCAAATATTTTTAATCTCACACCATATTCTGTCCTTGTGTTGTCTACTTCAATAATTTTCAGAGGTGTGCATAGAAAAAAGGGTAAACATAAAGCAAATTCTTCCATAAAAACTTATTTTTTCTTTAATAAAAAGCTCGGGTAAACATAAAGCAAATTCTTCCATAAAACCTTAAAGTATTTTTTCTTTAATAAAAAGCTTTGTATTACTGACTTAAGACAAATATATTCAACTATCTTCTTCCTTACAACTAAGTATGAAAAAATTAGAGGGCCATATTCTCCATTCCTATCTTCAGTCTCCCTTCCAAAGTGTCTTCTTGAAGTGAAAGATAAAAGATGATCCCAGAAACAATACCATAAAGACCCCTAAAAATGTTAACAGAGCAGTTTAAATTGTAAGTAACTGTCAGATGGTCTTGATCAAGGTAATCTATTCCAATGCCAGAAGCTGTTTTAATGTATGATTAACGAGAAAATTGCCGACTGTCCGATTTCTTGCTAATGTGTTTGAAGATTTTAGCTTTGTGGACGTTCTTTGATTTCTGGTAACCAAATCCCCCACCTCCACCTCTCTTCTGCAGTCTTCTGCCATGGTTGCTGTTAACATCTGGAATTTTATTGGTTAAGGAACTTAAAAAAGAATAATTTGAGATGTTGCTTTTTAGGTATTGTAAAAGAAATTAACTCTTAGATAGCAGCATTATACAAAAAGTTGAGTAGCATAACTACAGACAAAACTAGACTTTGGTGCCTGTGGTTCTAAATAATGCTTTTATTTCTCCAGTTATCCAACTGATTTGGCTGAAGTACAACTTCTTCAAATTGCATCCACTAGCAGGTTTGACCGTAATCTAGATAGGGTCTTCTATTTCATGCTCTTGTCCCTCTATTTCAATATTCTATGATTATAAAACTTAAGCATCTATCTTTCAATGAAAATAATTTTGCATGATGGAGAACAGTGCTGTAGAACATGGTGGCATGTACGCATTTCCGTATCTGCTGCCCCACAGCAACTGAAGCACATACAGCATGTACATGCACCAAAACATGGATGTTTGTAGGCAACTGTTGCCATCTGAATATTTGCTATTTAGCATTTTCTTTGATAAACTATTATTCGAGCATGATGCATTTATGTGATTAATAGCAAAAATAATAAATAAATCTGAATTTGAAGTAGCATAGGAACTTAGTAAGTTGCATTTAACATTTATAAAACTGAAATTCAGCTTTAAAATGCTGCAGTAAAAGGATACTGAGGTCGACAAATGGAGGAACTTTAAAACCAAATGAGAGGCTGACTTTGGGAAGATCCAAGTTATTGACATCATAGATCTGCTTCAGAGAATGGGAGTCATAAGCTCTAATGTAAGCTTTGTAGGCTTCCTGGGCTGACTTGTGAAGGAAGTAGTTCTTCTCAATCAGTTTCTCCAGCTGGCGAGGGGAAAAAACACAAAACAAAAAGACAACCAATTATAGCTATAACAAGTGTATAAATTATATTCAAACAAATTATTTATTATGTGAGTAGCAGGGATGTTCACTATTCACTTCATCAAAAATTGCCCTGTGACGGTAGAGCACATATACATATATAGGGTGCTTTTATAAACAAACAGAGGGACAGAATAGCCTGATGCTGAATTACAGTCCAAAGCCTCAGCACTATGAAAATTTACAGAAATATTGAATTGGGTTGTCCCAAACAAGTTCATCATACTGTGAAACCATGTATATTCAGAAGTATACTGTCATTGTCCATTAATTCTAAGTCAGACACCTCAAAGTGTCTCAAAGGTCAAAGTGTCACATTTGATAATTTGGATACATTAATTATTCAGCATACTAAAAATAAGTTACATTAGACATCATTACTTCCTAATTATTCTTAACTAGGAACCTCCTCCTGTAAGGACCTTCTACACTGTTTCTTGTACTTACTATTTCAAATTTAAGCTACTGCAAACAAGCTTTACAGAGCTCTTATCAAAAGAATAATACACAGAATTAAGGGACAACAGAAATTCACATCTACAGAACTATCTATGCTAGTCAACTTCATCTTCCATGGCTATTTTGGCAGCACTGGAGCACAAAACATGTTTATCTGATGATGGGCTTTATTAATATCATTTAAATACACCTGAATTAGGAATACTAGCATTCCTAAGTGTTGGTACTGGATCTCCTTCTGCACACTAAAGTCTGAGTAAATAATCTTATAAGACATACGTTACTCCCAATTAATCTGAACACACAGAGCTATTCAATGAAAGCTACTGAAACCCTGTTTGCTACGCTAGACAAGAACACTTTGTTCAAAAGCTGAAAGCAGGTTTACATCACTGTGGTTTTACTAAGAAGTAATTCTTACAAGCAAATTAATACCGTATAATGATGACAGTTTAGTACTCAGCATTAAAATTCATCTATAATTTCAAAACGTTTTATTGCTTTAATGTTATAGAGGGACAACGTGCAGAATTATTTACTGCACGACAGTCATCTACAGGAACTTTTCCAGACAAGCATACATATCTTTAAACTTTGGTCATTGTAGACTGTAACATTCTCCATATAAATTATTACACAGATACTCAGAGTAACTGTAGTACGAAGTCATTTCATACCTGAGACTGGATGTCTGAAATTTTTGACCACGAAAATTCGAATTCACTTAAGGGTACCTTAAAAAAAAAAAAAAAAAAAAAAAAGAAAGAAAATTCTGATATAATTTATACTATGTAAACACTGGATATATTAAAGACCTAAGACAAATACAAAAAGGCAGAACACGGGAAATTTATTTATTTTTTAATAACACAAGTTGCACAGTTGCAAATCAACTATAAAACACACCCAATATTTACCTTCGTGCTGCTGACTTTAGACAGAAGTCAGATGTTCAGTTAAATATTTTCTAAGCAACAGAATGTTTTTTGCTTAAAAAAATTAAAATGTTTGATTAATCATTACAGGTTTTGCCTTTAAAAGCTGTTGCACAGTAAAAAAAATAAATAGTTAAAAACATCTAGAGATAAGTTTACCCTGGCTTGTTTTAGGTAACGAAGAAAGCCCAGTTCTTCTGGTCGTAAAATGAGCAGAGCGTGTCCTCTACCATTTATGCCTCTGGCAGTTCTACCAACACGATGAATATATTCCTTTTGGAAGAATAAGAAACAGGAAGTCCTATCAGTCTTTCAAACATGTAATAAACTTCACAAAAATATGGCAAACTTAACATTGATAGTGTAATGCATCATCCATTATTTTATAAGACTTTTCTTAACACTAACACATGGATGAGGGAAATCAAGTGCTGAAGACGCAAAGCGTAATTAGGCTGAGACAGAAACCCAACTAAAAGTATTTTACCTTATACTGAATAAAAAAAAATCTTAGTCTGCTGTACCTGAAAATGAAACCTTGCTTTTGGTGTATTTGCCCTGTATATGTTTTAAAATTTCTGAGTTTTTCTTATTTACACTGGACATTATTCAATCTTAGTCTGCTGTACCTGAAAATGAAACTTTGCTTTTGGTGTATTGCCCTGTATATGTTTTAAAACTTCTGAGTTTTTCGAGTTTCGCTTATGTACACTGGACATTATTGAAACAAGAATACTGATTTTTAAATTAAAAAAAATATCTAATTTCCACTGGGAAAACCCATTTAGGAGACTCGGGGACGCATATATAAACTCATACGCCTTCTGAGAAGTGTTATGTTATTTACCTGATTAGATCTTAAATTAATTTAACAATACAAAGAATAATTTTTTAAAAAGCAACTCTTAAGAAGGTACAAAAGGTCTCAGCGAGGTGCAGCGTTTCTTAGGAGCTGGTGGAGGGAAGTGGAAGAAATCAGCTGCTGGATGTGAACAGGGCTGAATCCTGACCTCTGTCAAGCAGCAGCTTCAGCTTTGCTCTGTTTGTAGTTAGGATTTAATTTGTTGCTGTGAAGTTTCTCTATTTCCTTAACTTACTTTTGGATCATCTGGAGGGTCATACTGGACGATCCAGTCAACTTCAGGAATATCCAGTCCTCTGGCAGCCACGTCAGTGCACAGCAGTATCCCAGATTCTGCGTTACAGAACTGGAAAAATGTTGTAGTACGTTTGGTTTGTTTCTGCTTGCCCTGAAAGGAAAGAAACACATGAAGGATGAAATAGCAACTGAAAAAGAAAATTAGAAGCAATCTGCCAACTTGTAAGCTCAAATTTGAAGTTCCTATTTTGCATATTTCTTCCACAAAAAATAAAATAATGAAATAGCAACTGAAAAAGAAAATTAGAAGCAATCTGCCAACTTGTAAGCTCAAATTTGAAGTCCCTATTTTGCATGTTTCTGCCACAAAAAATAAAATAATATGGTCCTCTGGCAGCCACGTCAGTGCACAGCAGTATCCCAGATTCTGCGTTACAGAACTGGAAAAATGTTGTAGTACGTTTGGTTTGTTTCTGCTTGCCCTGAAAGGAAAGAAACACATGAAGGATGAAATAGCAACTGAAAAAGAAAATTAGAAGCAATCTGCCAACTTGTAAGCTCAAATTTGAAGTTCCTATTTTGCATATTTCTTCCACAAAAAATAAAATAAGGCATCTTTCCGTATCATGGACTTGTACAGACCAAGCAGGACCGTATAGGTATTTCACAGCAAAGAAACAATGCTACCACAGTTGGCAGCATAGAACTACATGAAATAATGTCTCTCAGAGGTACCACTCTATCTTCCAAAGCATTACAAACTTTCAAGAAGGCTGCATAAATGGCTGAAGTTCAGAAAAAGGACATTTGCAAGCTTAGCAATATGTTACATTACAGGTTTAATAAAAAAGAAGGAATACTTGTAACAGTTCTATCAGAATATAGTAAAAAAATCCCCAAATAATAATGATGATTAAAAAAAATAAAAAAAAAAAGGACATTTGTGGCCAGTTATAACTACTTCATAAACTTTCAGTCAATTCTTTCTCCTCAAGTGGAGAACCTCCATTTTGTGGTTTTGTTAAAAATTTAAAATACTCATCCAAATGATGAGAATTGGCATAATAAAACATCACTCTGGTCTTAGACAAAGCACCCAATGCTCCAGGGATCAGGTTGTTTGGATTCCTCTGACAATAGCTCTGCCCCACAAATTGAGTTTTAGTGCTTATGAAAGGCAACCCCTGTGCAGAAAACAGCAAGCTTTCTACAAACAGAAAATTAGTATCAGTAATTTAGCCTTGGTTTGGAAAACAGCAAGATTAACAATGTTGAAATGTTGTTATTACATTGTCTTTGCTTTATCTCCTTCGTCTACAGGCTAATCAAGACCATGATCAGCTTTGTGAGCAGGTATCTGTTTATTTGAAACTGGACTGAAATAAACAAGGCAAATGTAAGGTCAGTAACAACTTATAGGTACTATCAGATTAGTTAATCAATTAATAAAATACTTACATGAATGGCCAAAACAGGCAGATCAATATAGTTGAGTAATTCATAATGGTACTTCACTGACATACATGAAGAAAAGAATACCATTAATTTCTTCTTCCGGTTCTTCTTGAGGAATGTGAAGAGCAAAAGGAATCTTTTTTCAGATGGACACACTACATACCCCTAGAAAATATATAAATATTGTTAAATGAAATAGCATGGGACAAACTTTTGCTCCAGCAATATAATTAAATCAGGGAAGTGTTATGTTGTGAAACAAATAAGCGAAATAGTTAATTTTTTGTCTGTCCCTCACCTTGATACATGGAACTCCTAAAGAGAGTGAACTTGGCAAGAAACTTACTGTACTAACTTGAAATATGAAAAAGTAATTTTAAATCAATTATCCAAACTAGTGTAAGTTCAATGCAAAGTAATTAGTTTATACAATACAAATTCATTTCAAGAAATCTGAATTGCTGACATTGGGCACGAAAATAACTGTATAGGGTTCTTTAACATTTTTTATGATTTCAAGATATTTATTTCATGAACTTCTTGCTACCAGTCTACTCTTTTAAGGTAATACATAGCTACTGGTAATTTTATAACAACACTCACCATATCAACCGCACAAACCCAGAAACTGCTGTGCAGCTCCATTTAGCTATTATCTGAAGCAGCAACAATGAAATATATCTGAAGTATACATAACTCTAGTCAGTAAAGTGGAAAATACAGTCAGAAAGACAACTGGAGCTTAGGTACGTAATGTAAATAGAAATAGACAACTGTAAGTAACTATATTCTATTTCATGGGATTTTATATCATCTGTCCTGCAAACACTGACTAGATGTGTAGAACTGACTATAGGGAGCAGAGGGAATAAAGCCCTTTAAGCAACAGACAGCTTTTGATCATTAGGCTGGTAAACACCCTTTAAGACAGTGTTTGTACAACCCTGTTAAAACCACACAGGACTTGGTTTGTTCACAGATCACACTCCTTTTAATAACAGTGGGGTTTTACCTGTTCAAGACCATCTACTGTTGCTGTCTCCTTGTTATCATCAACCCCAACATACAGTGGCTCTTTCTTCAGAGAAATCTTTGCCAGATCTTCAACCTTTCTGGTTTGCGTGGCAGAAAAAAGCATCGTCTGTCTGCGTTCTGAAGAAATATTTATTTTGAAAGACAGCCTCAGTTTTCAAAGGTGAATTCAAATAGCAAGTCCATAAAATCTCTAGCTGCAAGCTTCCCTGAGCAAGTCTACTTCTTTCAATTAAACTCTAATTCAAACACACTGCTAATGACAAACAGAGAGATGTAGTTGTATTATGGATTGTGCAGGATGTTTACTTAGGCTGTCCCCACCCCCAAAATCCTAACAGCTATCAAAACACAATTATACTCTCTGAGAAAATGTTAATAATCATTTGCACTCCAATTTAGACAAAGAACAATGATTTAAACAGAGACCGACCTTGTAATTTGAACTATAAATTGATTTCATTCCCATGAATACTAAAATGTTTTTGTTAAAGAAAAAAAATCATGCTAGAGATTGTGCAAGAAAAAATGTACTGAAATTAAAGGGAACTGTTACTGTTTGTCTTGCAAAATCAGCATAGCACCTACACATCTGTGCATGCTATTTAGTCACGTGGCTGTACGTCTGTATTGAGCCTCAGGGACTTCAGTGATCTTAGAGCGGGGACAGGAACTCTCCTGCCTGTCATCTCCCAGCTTAAATACACATCCTGATTCTCTAACATTTTCTTTTTACACGAGTGCATGGAAAATGCAGACTGAGCCTGTTCCATTTCACAACTGCAAAAACAGCAGCAATTGTTCTTGCTGAACAACCAGTGCCACGATTTTTTAATATCTTTTTTAAAAATATTTTGAATTGTTTGTTTTAAAATATAATTTCCTTCATAACGGGACAAAATGAAATTAAAATCACGCAATGTAACAATTTCTTTTATCTATCATTTTCCACTTCAAGAAGAACATGTCATTTTCCCACTCTTCTTTCCCTTTCTTTTTAGCACTGTTTATTTATATTCCTCACAGGATGTTATTTGTTTATTTTATATATCTGTGTTTTAGACATGCAAATCTGAATTTTAATACTTAAGATGTAGAACCTAAAAATATTTATCACTGATTTTTTTATATACTACTTTTATGTTTGGGTTTTTTTTCTGCATTTTGAAAGTTAAAGGGAGAGCCTTGTTGATTTAAAGAATGTGTTTAACACATCAATTGGAAGAAATAATTAAATGAAAAATTAGGAGAAGAAAATTTTAAGGTAAATACTTAAACTTCCTTAAGGTACTGTTCTTGGAGGTAAGAAAAAAATTTGAACTGCAAGTCAGAAGACCTTTTTCCTCACGTTTAAGCCTTATTAGGAAATAATGAGTGGTAGGAAATAAAGGCGCAGAGGAAGATGAAAGAGAGAACGTAGATGTTAAACTAAAAGAATCATATATGAAACAGAATCATATCCCTAAAGTGCACATGAAAACTCTATCAGATAAATGATGTTAAATAACATAATACATACTAGCTAGCAGGAAAAAAGGACAGAGTGAGAAAACTGCTTGAAAGTGCGTTTACAGAACTATAAAAATTAATGACTTTTCTTATAGTAATTGAGTCATAAAGAAGACATAATGTTAGTCAAGTGACTTCCAGAAAAGAGGTTTTGTTTTTTTTTTTTCTTACTTGGTAGAAGTTTTATGATCTGTTTCATTTCTTCTTCAAATCCAACCTCCAAGATACGATCTGCCTCATCAATTACCAAACACTGCAAGTTCTTGTACATGAAACCTGGAGTGTTCTACAAGATTAACAGATTCAGAGTCAGACAGGGACAGGAGTTTTATTATGCTTTAAAATATTGATGTCTAATGGGCGCCATTATCTACCTGCATATGATCCAGCAGCCTTCCTGGTGTCGCTACAATGATGTTGATTCCATTTCCAAGTTTCTGTGCTTCTGCTGATCTGTTACTGCCCCCCATTATCAGGCCATAGGTGTGAACATGATGGTTCATAAGTTCTTTAAGAACTCCATAAGTTTGCATAGCAAGCTCTCGAGTAGGAGAAAGAATAATAACACCCGTTCCTAAAAAATACAAGAGTGAGTTACAACAACTCACCCACTCTCCCTTCTAGCCACATCTCTAAATGGCTGTGCCACAGTAAAATTCAACTGGGAAATGAAGAACCTTACCGTTCCTGGGCATGAATTTTAACTTGTAGATGAGCTCTACTGCAGGAATAAGAAACGCAAGTGTCTTGCCACTGCCTGTTTTTGCAGCTGCTAAAATATCCCTGTATGCAACAAAGTTAGAAAGAGGAGTATTTAGTTTAGAAAAGAACAATCCCATTTTGAACAACGTTGACACAGTAAAAACACAACATGGCATCCAGGACACCAGAAGAGTTGGTATTAAGAGCTTGGCAGCAGGTGTGGTTCACAGCAAATGGCTGCTATGTCTCTTGAGATTCTTTGAGACACACTGACACAAGACGAGTGAAAACACACTTCCCTGCTTTCAAAGCCAAATGCAAAGCAGTTTCCATGAGCTTACCCCAAGTATTTGTTCACAAACAACACAGATATACTGTGCTAACTTGTGTTAATTTGTATTATGGCCTCAAGTTGCACCAGAGGAGGTCCAGATTGGATATTAGGAAAAATTTTTACACTGAAAGGGTTATTAAGCATTGGAATGGGCTGCCCAGGGAAGTGGTTGAGGCACCATCCCTGGAGGTATTTAAAAGATGGGTTGACATAGTGCTTAGTGACATGGTTTAGTGATGGTTTTTTATCAGAGTTAGGTTGATGGTTGGACTAGAGGATCTTAAAGGTCCCTTCCAACCTAGACAGTTCTATGATTCTATGATTAACGACTATAAACAAAATATTTAAAATACTTAAAACTTAACCATATTTAAAAAAAAACCAAACAGTTTAGCTGCAGAAAGTTACATTTCATGTATTTAGCTTGCTAACAAAATTTATAGAACGTTTGGGGGCAGTATAGTGATTAAAACACCTATATCTTACCTGCCTTCCAGAAGGGGCTTAATACTTTTATGCTGAATTTCGGTCATATGCGTAAAACCCATGTCCTTTATGCCTTTCAGTGTGTTCTCACTGACAAGACCATCCAGGGAAGTAAAAGAATTGTCTTCAAAAGCACCTTGAAGTGAGGGGAGGGGGAAGAGAAAAAACCCAAAACTTATTTCTTCAGTTCTATCTATTTGCTGATATTACCCAGTTAAAATTTCAAAGAACAGGAACTGAGTGCCAGCTGTAGAGCTGCCAGTGTCATGTCACCTCTAATCAAACACCCGACTTACAAAGCTGATTGCAAAAATGCAACTTGCTCTGGAAGAAAGCGTTAGAGCTTGGCTTTTTGTATGAAAAAGGGGATGCAAGATACCTGTTACACCTAGTGGTAAACTGGGCACTTCATCCTCCTCCCCCTCCTCCTCTTCCCCTTCTTTCTCTCCGGAATCCTCCTTATCTCCATCTTCTGCCTCCGCAGACCCATTTTCTTCAGTTTTCACTTTTTTACTTGCCGTATCTAGAGCGTTATTTTACGGAAAACAAGTCAGTCAGAGATAGAAAACGCAAGTTCAGCACCAAAAGTTGTTCCCACAGAGTGGATTTCTTTTGTCTGTAAACCACGTGCAAGTGTCACACCTAGATATATAAATAGATATAGATATATAGATGCGCATGTATAAAAATATATAAAACGGAAAACGAGATCGGGCACTTTTTGGGGTCTCTGGGAATAACTCTGCCCAGGGAGACAAGTGTTAGTTGTTAAGATAAGGTACCGCTTTCCGCATTAGCCGCCGCTTTCCTCTTCTTCTTCTTCTTCTTCCTCTTCTTCTCCTCCTCCCCGCCGTGGGGACCGGCAGCATCTGCGGGACCGGCACCGTCCGAGGCCGCTCCGGCCGCCTCCTCCACCTCCTCCTCCTCCTCCGGGGGTGCGGGCGATGCCGCCTCGGCTGCAGGCATTTCGGAGAGAGAGAGGGGGGGGAGAAAAGACACCCCAAAGTCAGCGGCGGCTCCGCAAGAGCTCAGCCGGGCAGAGGCTCCCGGTGCCGGTGCCGGTCCCGTCCCCACCGTACCTGTCCCCTCCGCCTCCCGCTGCTTCAGGTTGCGCTGCCGCAGCTTCAGGTTGCGCTTGTGGATCTTCCTGTGCAGCAGCCGCATGGGCAGGTTGCCCGCGGCCACCGACACCGACATCTCCGCCGCCTCTCGCCCCGCCGCTCACACGTGGGGACGGGCCGGATGCGGGCCCCGCCGGAACTCCCGCCTCCCCGCCGGGCATGACGGGCGGCCCGCAGCGGCCTCCGGCGGAGCGGAGGAGACATCGCCTCGCCGGGAGGCAGCCACGGGGTCCCCGCCTCCCGTGGGGGTGAGCTCAGGCACGGGTGGGAGGTGGCACCGCACGTCCCGCCCCTGCCCGTTCCCTGCCCGGTTTAGATTGAACAGGGTAGGTTTAGATTGAACATTAGGAAAGAATTTTTCACCGAAAGGGCATTGGAACAGGCTGCCCAGGGAGGTGGTGGAGTCACCATCCCTGGCTGTGTTCAAGGGCCGTTTAGATGCAGTGCTAAGGGACATGGTGTAGGGGAGGACTTTGTAGAGTAGGGTAGATGGTTGGACTCGATGATCCCAAGGGTCTCTTCCAACCTAGACGATTCTATGATTCTATGATTCTCTCCATCCCTGCCCGTAGCTCAGCGGGATCGGGGGGGAGACGCCCGGTGTTGCCCCGAGGAAGGGATCTCCTCCATCTCCAACATCTCCTCTGTAGCCCCGCAGCACCGCTTCGCCCAGTGGCGTTGCCTCACGGTTGCAGGTGTTTCACTCTAATGGAAGACAGAAATGCTCCGCCTGTGTGGTCCCCAGTTTAGCACCTCTGGGAGAGGTGGTTTTTGGGGACACCCAGCCTGTCCTCTCGTGTGCAGGCTGGAGGGGCTGGAGACGCGGCGGTGTGTCCCACGGTGCTGCCAGCCTGCTGGCATCAGCCGAAAGGGGAGCTTTAAACATCCCGTGTAAACATCCCGTGCCAGCTTCCAGCGTTAAAGCTGGCAAAACTTTCGGGCTTGAAGAATCCCTGGTGCTGATCCTGGGGATAAAGGACGCAGCTGCACCTTTGGTGAAGTCCTGCATCTTCTGTAGCCACCTGGTCCACTCTCTGTTCCTCCCGATGGGCTCAAAGAACATGGAAACCCATTTTTGGTTTTCACCAGCGCAGCAGTGCTAGCAACTGGGCCAAATCTGGGAGCCCCTCATTTCCAGGGCATGGTTTCTTGGAGCTCTTCCAGGCAGCGCTTTCCAGCTGGAGCTCCCAGCTGCTCCTTGATTCCAGTGACAGGCAACGTGACCTTTTCTTCTAGAGTCCTGCTTGTTGGCTCTGCATTCCTTTCCCAAGAGGGAAATGCTGAAATGCAGCGCCCTGCAGACCCCTCTTGGCCAGCAGATGGCACGAGCAGTACAGGAATTCACAGCAGATTGCTTTGCTGCTTAAAATCAGCAACCACTGTGTTCTTAGAAACCTGACTACAAGTTGTGTAAGGCTCAGCCTGCAATAAATACCCTCCTGTAACGCAGAATAGACAGCAGAACTATTACTCTATTAATTTCGAAGCGTTTATGGCATATAACTTCTTTTTTTTTTCAAGCTACTAATGTTAGAGATGAAACAAAGGTCATTTTTCACCATCTGTAATTGTTGCCTTGCAGAGGTCATATGGATCACCAGGATGAGAATTAAATTTGTTGTACCAGAACTTCAGAATATGAACCACTTCATCTTGTCCAGACTTTCACAGACTGAATAGTAAGTCCGGCCACTGGCTTTATTAAGTTTAAAGGATAATTGCCATCTCCACCAGCTGCTTTTGAAAATAAACTGAACCATCCTCATCAAGAAAGGCTTTTGGTGTAAAATTCCAGGGAAGTCACTTCAAGGTTGGATTTTAAGCACGTAAAAGCTCCTTATTGCAACTCATTGAAATTTATGTTCTGGACACATTTTCTTCTTGGCTACTTATAATTGTGTCTTCAGAATATATTTTTAAGTAGATATGTGTTTGCTCTTTCTAGTCTGTACTGATTTATATGTATGTGACTGGGTTTGGTATTTGGATCCCGAGTTAACCCAGGTGGTGCTACTTTCTGGAATATGGTCATTATGCAGTTAGAGCGAGTTAAAAATCTGGACAGGAGGGAGCTGACACTAATACTTATATTGAGGGAGGAGAATTTTGGCATGGCATGGTCCACATATTCCTAACTTAACCAGTACTGACAGGTTCATCACTATTTTGCTTTCACCCACGTCATCACACGCCCAGCTCTGCCAAGAATTAGGACCTGGAAGCCCTGGTATTTAGGTAAAACCCTAAAGAACTCACCTCAGTGTCCATGTTGGGTCTCAGCTGACTTGGCAAGTCTTCCTGAGATCGCATTAGTGTGGCACGAGGCTCAAACTGATGAACTGTCCTGAGAAGGTATGTTAGATCCTGCTGAGCAGAATATATTGGCTGAGTCAATTAACAATAATCAGTGTGGTGCACAAGGAGAACTTTGTTGCATTTGCACATGAATGATGATCTTGCATCTGTGTAAACAGATCTCATGGCATCATATATAGGAATTCAGAAATTACAGATTTTTTTCAACAGCAAAATATCACGTGCTCCAACATTGCTTTGTCTCAATATCTTGTAAAAGATGTTGCTTAGAGTCAGCAAAGAAGTGTGCTTCTCTGGAAATTTCAAAACATATTTTATGAGCTTCTCTCTTCTTGTCTTTGTTTTTCTCTTCAAGCTGCAATTGTGGAAAGTCAAAAAAGAAAAGAAGACTCAGAAAGCAATAATGATAATTTAATTGTGACAGGTCTAGACAGTAGTTTAAACCACTAACTCATGTTAACAGTTTTTCTCTGAAGTTTGGCATTTCTTAGATATCAGATGAAGTCCCCCTTGCATGTGTCTCATTTCTGTCCAATAGATTCATTCCTAATTGCTTGATTTATCAGGCAATCGTTACTAACAACAAGATTTTCTCAAATGGTTATTGAGTTGTTGTCAAAATGCCTCAAATTCTCTACGCATAATCCTGCTGGAAGGTTTGTGGGGAATCACATTTTGGTTTATCAAAGCCTTAGAGCTGAAGAAGTCTGTATTAGAGACTCTGGATTTAGATTTGAAGATGAATGTTTTTAATGGGCTGCTATTGTCAATAGATTACCTCCCAGGCTAAATTCATCATTGAAGCCTAATTCAAACTCTTTGCTCCTACTTACCACTAACTAACTTGTGTTAACAATGTAACACAAAAGTAGTCATTGACATCAGTTGTATCATTTCAGGTAGGTGGTGATAACTTATACAACAGGTATCAAAATCCCGTATAGAAAAGATCATGAAACAAAAGTGTATAGTCATTTTTGGATACTGGAGTTGTGGTACAGAACAGAGTAAAGGCAGACAGGTTTTATTTTCAGAAAGCAGAATCTCTGAAAAGATGCTCTTTTGATTTTTTAGGTTGGACATGAAAAAATCCACCACTGATGTCATTTATGAACATCCGCACCATTAAGCTAAAAGTTTTGAACTAGAAAACAGGAGCTTTTATTGCTTAAAGCCACAAACTGGAAAACCTTTCAGAGATGTCTTTTCATTTTAACAGATTATAATTTTTCCTGTTAGATCAAATTTATCTGTCAGACAGTAATAAGTACCCAATAGGCACTGGGTTTTAAAATCAAGTGTCAGATAGCTATCAATTTTTTCAAATGTCTCTAACTTATGTAAGAAAATGTCTGTATGTGTATGTAAGTGATGGATACCAAGGTATCTGCAGAAATAATCAATTTTCCAATTTAGATGGGACATATAGTTCTGAAATCAGGAATTTGGAAAAGTTACCCACACCTAAACTGATATCAAGTGCTGTAGATACAGATATATCAAGGTATAGCACATAGAGAACAGGCTGCTTGATTTAAAGAACGTGTTGATGTTAATGGGCTTTAGAAATTGCCAGTGCAAATTGCATCTCCATAGGGTATCATTGAATTTCAGTGAATTTATGTGGGAATTTAGAGTATGCCTTTGAGTTCAAGACAAGAAGAGTAACGTTTTTGTGTTTGAAAAAAGCAAGCTAGGCTATCATAATCACAATTTTTTAATATTTTGGTTTAATATTGCTTCTGAATAATGTCTCCCTTGTGTCACGTGGGGATAGTGTCTCGGTTATAGTATCATGAACGCTTTGTGTAGCACGTGGAATACAGCTGGGTTCATGGAAATTTCTCTTTTACCCCAAGTTTTACAACTGAAGCCATTCAGTGTGTCAGTTGTAAATGCAGATGGGCATGTACTTGCATGTGTTCCAAATCAAAACCAGTGCAGACCTGCAGCTGGGATGAGAAAATAGAGATGGGCTGAGTTTCATTTTATAGAAGACCTTGTAGATTTTGCATAGTTCTCGTGGATTTTTTGGAACTCACAATTGCTCAGGTGTTTCTGAGAAGCACTTCAATATCTCAAAGTGTTAGGCCATCACCATTGCCCTTTTTAGTTCATTAAAGGGAAGCCAATATTCTAGGGCTGGAATAATCTGGATCATGGCAGGGTAAGAAACTGAAGCCATTTTAATTGTTCTAATGAATGATCTCCCCTTTTATACGCATAGAGGACCAATGTTTTATCTCACTCTTGTAGACCTCTCTGTGGAGTTTAGCATGGTTGATGGTGAAATCTCAGTGTCATTCATATGGATGGCAGGAGTCCAGGTTACTGTACTAGTCTGGGCCCTTCCTGAAGAGATGCATCCAACAGAGAGTGATGATCAGCTCCATGCCTACCCTACTTGATCCTTAATGGCTGGAAGCCCAGAAACTTCATAGTGTAAAATGCTGTAGTTCTTCCCTGCAGTAACAGGGTTTATGCATTTGTTTGCCACAGAAATTTGTGCCAAGGTCAGTATTTTCATCCTCATCTCCAAAATACATCATCACTGGTGCCCAGTTTATCTAAAATATTGCTTAAATCACTCTGAAATTAAGAAGACAGTTGGAATCATATAATCACAGAATGGCTGAGGTTGCAGTCTCTGGAGATTGCCTAGGCCAACCTCCCTGCTCAAGCAGGGTCTGCAAGAGCAGGTTGCTCTTGTCCACTCAGACTTTGAATGGTGCCAAGGATGGAGACAGCACTGAAGACTTTATTTACTCCTTTCCATGAGGTATTGATACACATTGAACCTCCTTTTCT